GGACGTGAGCTGAGCGGCAGCAGACGGAGCAGCGGCGGCCAGAGGGGAGGGGCAGGAGACTGTCTCGCTGGTGCGCCCCACCGTGGGGCGCCCCTCCTTCTGGGACTTCTCCTCCCCATCCCCTTGCGCCGTCTTCGCCTCCTCTCCTTGGCCTTCGAAGCCTCCCCCCTTGAGGGCTCGCCCGTCGTCTCCGAGCGCAGCTCGGCTCGACTCTGCGGGCCGCTCGGCCGGCCGCTCTGCCTCCGCGGCCGGCAGAGCTGCCGCAGCATCCGGCCGCAGCCTCTTCGGCCTGCTCTTCAGCGACGCCTCTGCCTCCGCGGCCTCCCCTGGGGCCCTCCTCGACCAGCAACGCACCCTTATCCGCCTCCCGAGGCGCAAGCGTGGGCTCACCCAATCGCACGGCGCGGACTTGGCCCGCTTGCGGGCCGAAGTGAGGACCTCCGCAGCCCCCATCCGGAGTCCGGGAGGTCTGCCTGGGTGCGGGCGTTCTGGCTCGCGTCGTGCGGCTGGTCTTTGAGCTGCACTGCATCGGTCTGGGTGGCAGCGTGTTTAGACGAGACCTTCAGCCGACTCCGTGATTGAGGGCTTCTGCTTGAGCTCGGGGACCTTGGCACACAGCCGGACGGCATTCGAGAGGTCCGCGTTCAGGTAGTCAATGATAGCTGTCATTGTGGCCGTCTGTTCGAGAAACACATGCTAACCACCATCAGGAGCACCTGCAGCGCAACCATGCTCACCATCCGGTGCATCAACAGCACATGAATGCTCAAGTTTGTCAGGCCAGCTTCCCTCCAGGTCTGGCTCGGGGCCGCCGACCTCAGAGAGGAGCTCAGACAGGTCGTACTGGATGCCTCACCGGCAGGAGCTTCACCAGCACGGAGCAGGAGGAGAAGGGGGAGGTGGAGGTAGAGGAGGAAAACGAGGAGCACCGGAGTAAACCCAAAATACATCAGAGAGGATCCAATCGACCTTCCCGTCCCAAGTGCCCTCCACATTACAGAAAGCGCCCCCGTTGAAAGACGAGCCCCCCGTGCGCATGCCATTCAGGCGATAGCCCCGTTTAGAAAAGGAGGCTGCCTTGCCTCCGATCGCATAATCCGGAATGCGGAAAACAAGATCCTCGCTCTGAGAAGGGACCGCCACCCGTCCGTGCTACTGTCAAACAGGTTGAACCACTACACGCTGTGTTCGCGGAAGTCGCCAGCGAGAGTCCCAAGTTGAAAAAGGAGACGCCCTCCGTCCGCGCAGCTGCTGAGTATGTTGACATGTCTGGCCCTTCATCTAAACATGCTCCTCCTCCTGCTCTTCGTCCTCCTCCTCGCTGTCCTCCCCCTCCTCCTCCTCCTCCTCCTCCTCCTCCTCCTCCTCCTCCTCCTCGTCCTCCTACTCCTCTTCGCCCTCCTCTTCGACCTCCTCTTCGCACTCCTCTTCGACCTCGTCTTCGTCCTCCTCCTCCTTCTCCTCCTCCTCCTCATCATCATGCTCCAGGCGACGGCCCCATTGAAAAAAAGGAGTCGCCCTCCCGCCTTCTCACGGACGCAGCAATGTTTAACACGAGAACGCGCGCAGGTAAGGCGAGAGCCCCACTGGTCCGCAATGAGGCTTGCCCAAGGAACTCCTACTTGGTTAAAGGCTGGTGCCTCCTATTCTCACTTTGCACGTTGCTCGGAAGTTCCTCGGGTTCCTCGGGTTCCTCGGATTCCTCGGGTTCCCCGCCCCCGGTGCCTCCCATTGTTACGTTGCCCGTTTCCCGGAGGTTCCTCGGGTTCCCCGCCCTCGATGCCTCCAATTGTTACGTTGCCCGTTCCTCCGAGGTTCCTCGGGTACCCCGGGTTCCTCGGGTTCCCTGGGTTCCTCGGGTTCACTGCCACCGGTTGCCCCAAGCAATGCCGAGCAATACCAAGCAATGCCAATCAATACCAAGCAATGCCAACCTATGCCAAGCAATGCCAAGCAATGCCAAGCCATGCCAAGCAATGCCAAGCAATGTCAAGCAATCCATGCAATGCCAAGCTATGCCAAGCAATGCCAAGCAATACTAACCCATTCCAAGCAATGCAAAGTAATACCAAGCAATGCCAAGCAATGCCAAGCAATGCCAAGCAATGCCAAGCAACGCCAAGCAATGCTCAACCGTTCCAAGCAATGCCGAGCAATGCCAAGCAATACAAAGCAATGTCAAGCGATGCACCCAGTGATGCGCCCATGCAATAGGCTTTCCCCTAATCGGGGTCGCGCTGGGTTCATGAAGAGAAGCCGCCCTCTATCGTAGTGACTGCTGCAAGAATCGAAACAAATATGCGCGGCGACGCGGAGAGAGCCCCATTTCGAAAACCACCCGTCTTCCATCCTTGAAACTGCTGAAAACTTTCAAAACGAATGCACGCGTCGCGAAGGCGAGAGCTCAAATGAAAAACGACCTGTACTCGAATCATAACTTTCGCGAACTTTAAGACGAATGCGCGCGGCACTGAGCTGAGATCCCTACGTTGAAAACCAACCCCCCAATCCTTGCAACTATTGCAACTGTCAAGACGAATGCGCGCGGCCCTGAGTCAAGAGCTCCGTTTTAAATCGACTCATACCCCCCTGTGTAATTGCTACGAGCTTCAAGCTTCAGGATCAGAAAAGGTAAGGAGGTCTCAGGCGAATCGCCTGGCCCGCAGGAGGAGGAGGAGGAGGGAGAGAAAGAGAGAGAGAGAGAAAGAGAAGGAGGAGGAGGAGGAGAAGGAGGAGGAGGAGGTGGAGGTGGAGGAGGAACTTGTAGGCTCTAGGCTCCACGATCGAGGCCTGTCTCGGCTCTCGGGTCTAGGGTTCCGGCCCGAGACAAACAAAACTTGCCCAAGGAGCTCGACCCAGACGCACTTGAGGCGAGCATCGTTGCCACTGCAGCGCCTGACTGCACATATTTTGCACGAGTAGCTGAAGGTGTGCATGCAACGAGGCTCGGGTCTAGAAGTCACTAGACAATATGGCCAAGCGGACCAGCAAACTGCGCAACCATAGCTCGAGAGCTCCTTGGTTTCATCGGACCTCAGCCCAAATGACCGACGACGGACCGAGAGCGACGGAGCGGTGAGACCGGCGCGGCCTGACGCCGCTGCGGCCCCAGCCGCCCCAGTCCTGCGGGCGGCGTCCAACCCAGGGCCCCCCAGGTTGTCGTGGTCGTCGTCGCCATCGACAGCGTCAACGTCGTCGACGTCGCCATCGCCAACGTGAACGTCAACGCCGCCGCCGCCGTCAGCGTCAAAGTCAAACCTGTCCTCCTCCTCCTCCTCCACCTCCTCCTCCTCCTCCTCTTCCTCCTCCTCGTCCTCACTATCCTCCTCCTCCTCATCCTTCATCCTCCCCCTTTTTATCCCTCGTTCTTATCCGCCTCCCATTTTCTCCCATTCCTCCTCCTCCTCCTCTTCCCCCTCCTCGTCCTCCACCATCCATGTTCTGAATGAATAACTCCTCCCTGTCGAACCCCTAACAGTGCCAGTGGGGCGGGCCAGTATTTTCGCCTAAGACGTCCATGCGAGCTATGATCCTGGAGCTGAAAATCTGCGGTAGCCTCACGGCTGGAGGGCCGGCCGTTTTCAAAGTGTGGCTCTCGCAACAGCACCGCGCACGATCGTCGCAAAAATGGCAAGGGCTGGACGGATGGAAGGTGGGCGGCTTTCAAAACGTAGCTCTCGCCTCGCGCCGCGCACATTCATCGCAAAGGACTGCAAGGGCTTGACGGATGGGGGGCGGGTGGTTTTCAGCATGTGGCTCTCGCCTTAATGCCGCGAACACTCGTCTTAAAGATTCGCAAAGGCTTCACAGATGGAGTTCGGTCCGTTTTTTTTATGTGGCTCTCGCCCTCACGCCGCGCACATTCGTCTCAGAAGCTTGCAAAGGTTTCCCGGATTGAGGGCGGATCGTGTGAAAAAAAATGTGGCTATCGCCTTTGCGCCGCGCGCATGTGCTTTCAAAGTTAGCAGGGGGCTTCACGGATGGAGGGCAGGTGATGTTCAGAATGTAGCTATCTCCCTTGCGCCGCGCGCATTCGTCCCAAAAGTTTACTTACAAGAGCTTCACGGATGAGGGCCGGTCGTTTGCAAAATGTAGCGATCGCCTTGGCGCCGCGCGCATTCGTCTTTAAAGTTTGTAACAGCTTGCTTCACGGATGGAGGACAGGTGATGCTCATAATGTGGCTCTCGCCTTAGCGCCAAGCACATGTGTTTTCAACATTCGCAAGAGCTTCACGGATGGAGGGCGGGTGTTCAAAATGTGCCTCTCGTCTTAGCACCGCACGCATTCCTCTTAAACGTTTGCAACCATGTAGCGGAATCGTATGGGTGGCGTCCCAGGACTGGTGCTCCGAATCGGCTTAGAATTGTGAGGGCGCAATCCTCCCGTTGATTCGCGACGTTGAAGTCCAAGGAATGGTGACCAGGCACGGTTCAAGACGGTCAAGACGCAACAGTAATATAAATTCGCGGCGTGAGAGTCCAAGGAAGTGTGGTGGTTTAGCACGGTTGAGGATTGTCAGACGGCTGTCTTCCAACGGGGCAATCCCAGCGAATTAATGTTTGGGCATATGAGGGAACTTCGAGGGAGGGCTTTTGCTGCTACATTCTTGATGCGCCTTGGGTTTACACTGGTCCTCCTCGTCCTCCCTCATGATCCTCCCCCTCCCCCTCTATCCTCCTCCTCCTCCTCATCATCTGTCCTCCTCCTCCTCTTTCCTCCTCCTGTTCCTCCTCCTGTTACTCCTCCTCCTCCTCCTCCTCCTCCTCCTCCTCCTCCTCCTCCTCCTCCTCCTCCTCCTCCTCCTCCTCCTCGCTCCTCCTCGCTCCTCGCTCCTCCATCCTCCTCGCTCCTCCTCCTCCTCCTCCTCCTCCTCCCCCTCCTCCTCCTCCTCCCCCTCCTCCTCCTCCTCCTCCTCCTCCTCCTCCTCCTCCTCCTCCTCTCCTCCTCCGCCTCCTCCTCCTCCTCCTCCTCCTCCTCCTCCTCCTCCTCCTCCTCCTCCTCACTGCGCGCGCTCCCACGCGCGCCGACGCGTGGAGGGGGAAGAAGGAGGAGGAGGAGGAACAGGATAGAGCAGGAGGAGGAAGAGTACCAGGAAGGAAGAGAAAGAGAAGGAGGAGGAGGAGGAGGAGGTGGAGGAGGAGGAGCGAGGAACGAAGAGAAGGGAAGGTCTTCGGAGGCTCAGTGGAATGTCGAAGGTGGCACTGAAGATGCTGAGGGGGAGGCTTTCGAAAGCGTCCATAAGTATTTGGAGGGGGAGGGGGAGAAGGAGGAGAAGGAAGAGGAGGAGGAGGGAAAAGACGATGAGGAGGAGGAGAAGGAGGAGGAGGAGAGGGAGGAGAAGGGGGGAAAGAGGGGGACGCGGCGGCGGAGGCTGAGATGGATGGGGAGGAGGAGGAGGAGGAGGAGGAGGCTGCCTCACGTCTGATGTGGTGACGTACACGCATCGGTTCGCGGTGTCCTCCCCGTCATGAATCAGGAAAATTGGAGACCTGTCGGAGTGACCGGCCTCTTGGCCGTGGTACAGGTTTACGTACCAAATGTCATCTTTGAGCGCATGAAAACTCTGCGGCGAATGGCCGTAGACGTGAATTCGCTTCCTGGCACTGAATCTCCGGATCTGGTCGTCGAGCTGCGTACAGCCAGTGCTCTTGGCCGCGTCACCGTGGCTTTTGAAAGGCAAGTCCCGACGCGGCAAAAAATGAGAGAACGTGATCACAGTGCCGTGGTAGGGGTGCCCAAAGTGCGCCTCGTTCATCTTCAGCATGTACTTCCACAGCTGAGTGTCAGGATCGAGAGGCCACTTGGAATACTTGTCGACCCCATCCAATGATGGATAAGGATCCTCGTAGTCAAACTCTGCCGAGTACCAAGACAAAAGCGGCACGATGAATACATCGTGGGCGATGGCCGCGGGGAATACATCGACGTCGAGTTCGTCGCATGTCTCCATGATGGCCAGGAGCTTGGCAAGCGAGTCGGGGTACCTGGTTGTCTCGGACGGGTGGATCCAGGTCTCGTGGTTACCTGGCACGTAAAACACCCTTCTGAACTTGGCCCTCAGCGTGGTGAGCCCCTTCACGAGGGCGTTCCTGCTGTCGCAGACGTTGCCAGCCACTATCAGGACGTCCTCCTGAAAAGGAAAAAATGGCATAACATAAGCTGTTGGAGCTCCGCGCGGATTGCTCGGATCGGCGCTGAAGACCCCCCCCCAGGATCGTGAAGCGCGCCAGGGGCGGCGCCAGAGGTTCCAGCGCCGACCCAAGAAACCCGCGCGGAGCTCCGAAAGGTCAGGTTCATGCCATGGTTTGCCCCCCAAATCCTGAAACCTGAAGTCGTCGATGCTGTGTGCCCACTCCTCGTTGCACTTGTGGTCGAAGTGGACGTCGGATATAGAAGAAGAAAAAACTGAATAAACATAAACTGTTTGCGCTCCGCGTGGATCTCTTGGACCTGCGCTGGACCCCCCCCCCTCCCTGGCGTGCGGAGCGCGCCAGGGGCGGCGCCGGAGGCGCCGCCGCGGGGGTCCCAGCGCGGATCCGAGAAATCCGCGCGGAGCGCCAAAAGTGTACGTTTGTGCCGCTTTTGCTTCTTCGGGCATATGCAGTACACCCTCGAGCTGCCGCTCGGCCTGCACAGGTCCCTGCCGAAGCGCTCCCGCACGCGCCGCTGCGCGCGCACGCTCCGCCAGGCCGGCAGCACGGCGAGGCACGCCTGCCGCCCCCGCAGCGCCGCGTCGCCGCCGGGGTCCAGCACCAGGGACCTGGCGAACGCGGCGTAGGCCTCCTCCTCTCGAGTGGGAGATCGACTAGAAAATTGACTTACCCCAGACTTGAGCTTCTCGCCGCGTCAAACGAGAGCACCCAGAATTGCCGTGGATCTACGAGCATCATGCATGCCTTCTTGTAGATCCGACGCGAATTCCAACTTCGGGGTTGATCAATTCTGTAGTCGATCTCCTGCCCGATCCTCGCCCAGACCCCCGACGTCATGAATTTTTCATGACGTCGACCCCCAGCGGTCTGGACCCATTCCCCGGGACCGTTTTTTCGTCCTGAGTCGTTTTTTGACGGCCCCGAGGGCCGGTAAGGGCCCCCAGAGGCCAAAAATAATCAAAAACCTCCCGTCGTGACTTTTTCATAACTCGAGGGGGTCTGGGCGGGGAGCAAGCAATGCCAGAAACGTAAACTTTAGCAGCTCCGCGCGGATTGCTCGCATCGGCCCTGGAGCCCCCCGGCGGCGCCCGCGGCGCCGCCACTTCGCGCGCGCCGCGCGCCCAGGGGAGGGGGGGCCCAGCGCCGCTCCGAGCAACCCGCGTGGACCTTCGAGAGGTTGCGCTTACGTATCCTCCTCCTCCTCCTCCTCCCCTCCTCCTCCTCCTCCTCCTCCTCCTCCTCCTCCTCCTCCTCCTCCTCCTCCTCCTCCTCCTCCTCCATCGTTTTGTTCCTCTATACTCTCGGGCCCCTCTCGGGCGTCTGGGGCGTCTCTTGAAGCGCTTTGGGGGGGCCCTCCTGGCGCCCCTTAGGCGAGGGGCCCTAACCATGCTACAGCGGAGGTCAGTCCACAACAAGCCTTCCACAAGAAACCCGACCCTGAGACCCCAGGACGTCCGTTGGTTTTTGGTGTGGGAACATGGCGCTCTCCACAGCAGAAAATCATCGAAGCCCAAGAAACCCAGGGCACCCTGGAGGCAAGCGGGGTGTTTCTTGGCATGGGTCTCCACTGTATTGTTTGACAGCGGGCGCCCCCAAGGGGGGTATCCAGCCTGCCGGCGCCAGATCCTTCACGGGCGACCGCGCGGGGCCTGCGTTTTCAAGTGTCCGCGGCCTGTGTTATTTGTCCCTCGATTGTCTGTCCCTCGATTGTATTGCGGGGCCTGCGGGGCCTGCATTGTTGGTCCCTCGATCTCCGTCTCGCCGCTCCCGAGGAGCGCGGTGCCCAGTCGGGCGTGCGCCTTCGCCCAGTCCCCCCTGCACGCGACGGCCTGCCTGGCGTCCGCCAGCGCCAGGGCCCAGCAGCGCAGGCGGCACAGCGCGCCCGCGCGGTTCGACCGCAGCACGGCCCTGAGCATCGAGTAGTCGTCCGTGGCGCCCCGGGGCGCTGGCGTGGAGGCGATGGCGCGCGTGTAGTGGGCCACTGCCAGGCCCAACTCGTTGGCCCTGAGCGCCCGGTTGCCGGTCTCCTTCTCCTCGTGCGCCGCCTCCGAGTCGGCGCCAGCCGTCCTGGCCACCATGGCCTCCAGCGCCTCGATGCTGCCTGCGCTGGGCTCCAGCTCGGCGGCCCTGAAGCAAGCCTGGCAGGCCTCCTGCAAGAGGGCCGCGGACTGGACTCCTCCAGCCCGCTGCCCCAGCGCGGCTGCCGAGGCGCCGATGCGGCTCCACGCCCTGCCCCACGCGGGGCGGAGGTCCCGCGCCCGCCGCGCGTCCTCCAGCGCGGCCTCGTGATGCCCGACCTTTGCGAGGCAGGCGGCGCGGTTGGACAGCGCCACCGACTCCTCTGACTACCTACCAGACCACCCCAACCCAACCCGAAGATCCAAATTTGACCCGAATTTCGGGTTGGGGGGGTACGGGTTCCATGTGTTTTTTCAACGTTCTCCGACCCCCCCCACTGGAAATGGAAAGCAAATTGAGGCCTTCGGGTTGGGTTGGGGTGCTCTGGTAGGTGGTGATCCTCCCCCTCGTGGCCGCCCGCCAGCTGCAGCTCCTCCAGCTCCTGGGAGTACAGCGACGCTGCCAGGAAGAAGTCGGCCCTGCCGTAGGCCTCGCGGCCGAGCCTGCCCCAGGGCATGCTCAGACCTCGCTCGCCGCCGTCTCCGCTCTGCGCCTGCGCTGGCGCGGCCTCGCCGCAGAGGCGACGCGGCAGCGCCGCGAGTGCCTCTCGAAACAGGAGGAACGCGGTCGACTCCAAGACAGGCAGGAGCCGCTCCTTCAGCCCCGCCCACTCCTCGGCCGCGGCCCGCTTCGCGCACGGAGGCGACGAGAGGGCCACGGCGAACAGGTCGCAGGGCCGCCCGGCGCTCGTGTAGAACGTGATGCTGCAGGTGGGCCGCGTGAAGACCGGGTGCTGCCAGAAGTGGCGCTGGCCCAAGGTGCTCCCGGCTCTGCGCCCCCTCTTGGGACCCCTGCAGAGGAGCCCCCGAGCCGGCCCGAGGGGGACCCAAGCTGGTCCAAAGAGGCCCCCAAGACGGCCCAAGAGAGGCCCCCGAGACGGCCCATTCCCCGGTACCGGTTGTTCATCCTGAGTCGTTTTTTGACGGTCCCGAGGTCTGGTAAGGGCCCCCGGAGGCCGAAAATAGCGAAAAAACTCCCGTCGTGATTTTTTGCATGACTCGAGGGGGTCTGGGGCCCAAGAGCATCCCAAAAGGGCCCCGAGGCGACTCCGAGAGGCCCCCGAGGCAGCCTCCGACAGGGCCACAGACGGCGCAGGAGCGCGGCGGGCCGCGCCACGCGAGGCTCACGTGGGCCCCGCCCAAGACTTGGGCGGGGGCCTGGCCGCCCAAAGGGGGCCTCGTGAGGGGTGCCCAGAGGGGGCCATCTGTCGAGTAGGAGATCGACTACAGAAGTGATCTGCCCCAGAAGTGACATCCCAGATGCCTTCGCGCGGTGGAAAAAGACACGACGGGAAGTTTTCGCTATTTTCGGTCTCCGGGTGCCCTTCCTGGGCCTCGGGACCGTCAAAAAAACAATTCAGGATGAAAAACCGGTCCCCGGAAAGGGGTCTGGACTTCTGGGGGTCACGTCATGAAAAATCACGACGTCGGGGGTCTGGGATTTTCGCTTCGTTTACAGTAAACACATGGAAATGTTGTGGATATACGAACACTGTACATGTGTCGTTGTAGATTCGACGAACATGTCAATTTTGGAATCAATCGACTCTATAGCCAATCTCCTGCTCAAATCTGTGTCTCCTGTGGTAGCTGCGGCCACCTTCCCAGACATGCGATGTCCCGACGGTTCCAGCTCGGGCTCCCCCGGGAGCCCCGACCTCTCCCCCGGGGCCACTTCTGCTTCCCCGAAGCGTTGCCTGACGGTCCCGGGGCCCGGCGAGGGCCCCCGAGGGCCGAAGTCCGCGAAAAACCTCCCGTCGCAATTCTTCACGACGGTCCCGGGGCCCGGCGAAGGCCCCCGGAGGTCGAAACCCGCCAGAAGCCTCCCGCCGTGACTGTTCACGACGCGGGCACGGCTGGTCTGGGCGGCAGGGCCACCTGCTCCAGCAGCGCCCGGAGCAGAGGGTGACGGCGGGCCCGTGCTGCGACAGCTCCGCCTCGCAGACGGGCCCCTCGGCCGCCCGCGCCTGCGCGCGCCGCAGCAGCGCAGGGTGCTCCGCGCGGCGGGGTCCTCCACACCAGAGGATCGGCGGCGAGCCCCGGGGGGGGAGCAAGAAGGAGAAGGCCTTCTCGGAAGGCTCGGAAGTCCCCCGGCCCTCTGAGAAGCTGTCCGAGCCTCCCCCGAAGACCTCAGAGGAGCCTCTCAGAGGGCGCGAGGGCTTCCGAGAAGTCCCGCCGCCCTCTGAGAGGGCCTTCTCCTTCTCACTTGCCCCCCTCGCTCGCCGCCGATGGGAGGGGCCAGTCGCGACAACGGCGGCCCTCCCACCCGGCCCAGGTCCGCTCGAGAGCGGCAACGGGCGCGCTCGCTGAGCTTCGGGCCCCAGGACCCTCACAGACCGATCCGGCCCGAAGATGGCGCAGAAAGAGGGGGCCTGGGGCTCTGGTCATGATCGCTCGCGATGTTGCATGCTTTCGTTCCCACGCCTCGAGTAGGAGATCGACTACAGAATTGATGCACCGCAGAATTCACATGTCCGTCTCTTCTACCGAAGACGCAAAACAAACAATCATGGAATTCCGAAGAGTGTACATGCTTTCCTGTAGATTCGGCGAACATATCCATTTTGGGGTAAACCTCCTCCACCTCTCGAATACTTCCCCTCCTCCGACCTCCGCCTCCTCCTCCGCCTCCTCCTCCTCCTCCTCCTCCTCCTCCTCCTCCCCCTCCTCCTCCTCCCCCTGCTCCTCCTCCTCCTCCTCCTCCTCCTCCTCCTCCTCCTCCTCCTCCTCCTCACCCTCATCCTCCTCAAGTCGATCTCCTACTCGACCCTGGGACCTCAGGAGCCCGTCGGGGCGGACCCCACCGCGGCCACGAGAGTCCCCCCGCGAGGCCCAGAGGAGGGCGGGCAGAGCGCGGGGGGCGGGTGCCACCGTCTCGGCAGGCCCTCCGATCCGAGACCGCGAGGAAATTGAAACATCGCGAAAAAACACGACCAGGTAGAGAAGGGGGAGAAGGAAGGTGAGGAGGAGGGAGGAGGAGGAGGAGGAGGAGGAGGAGGAGGAGGAGAGGAGGAGGAGGAGAGGAGGAGGGAGGAGGAGGAGGAGAGGAGGAGGAGGAGAGGAGGAGGAGGAGGAGGAGGAGGAGGAGGAGGAGGAGGAGGAGGAGGAGGAGGAGGAGGAGGAGGAGGAGGAGGAGGGGAGGAGGAGGAGGAGGAGGAGGAGAGGAGGAGAGGAGGAGAAGGAGGAGGAGGAGGAGGAGGGAGGGAGGAGAGGAGGAGGAGGAGGAGGAGGGGGAGGGAGGGAGGAGGAGGAGGAGGAGGGAGGAGGAGAGAGGAGGAGGAGGAGGAGGAGGAGGAGGAGGAGGAGGAGGAAGACGACGACGACGACGACGACGACGACGACGACGACGACGACGACGACGACGACGACGACGACGAGGACGACGGGGTCACCGCCGCGGGCTCTCGTGCCGCCCCTGGCACGCGGAGCGCGCCAGGGAGGCACTAGCGCAGACCTCCGACAGACAGTGCATGCTGCATACTGGAGGATCGGCACTCGGGGCTAGGGTAGCCCAAGGAAACAGCATACTTAAGCTGTTCCAACATACTTTGGCATTGATATCACCAGCAAGAATGTCGGCCGCCAAGAGAGCATCGACACTGGAGGGTTCTCGCGTGCCGGGCCCTGGGAGGCGATGGCCGGTCGACACTTCGCCAGCGCGTCGGGTAGACACTGCTTCGATGCGTCTCTGGGTGCTCGAAATTATTTCTGGGATGTGGCCCTCGAGAACGATGGGAACAACATAACCCTGGACCCCACCTGTTGGGCGGCGCCCTCCCAGCCAGATCGATCTGTGAGGGCCCCGGGGCCCGCGAGCGAGCGAAGACGCCCAGCGCTGCAGCATGGCGACGCCCGCGAGGCCCAGGGAGGGCGGACGACACGCCGGTAGGGCGCCGCTGGAGCCTCGACTGGCCCTCCTCCAACGCTCGCCGCGGCCCTGAAATCCGACGCTGCGAGAAAACTGCAACATCGCCAAACACCTCGAGCGGAGCCCCAGACAGCCTCTTTCTGCAGCACTCTTCGAGCCGGATCGATCTGTGATGACCCCGGGGCCCGAAACCGGACCACGACGCCTGATGTGAATATCAGCCAGCGTTGACTCCAAACAGATAGGAGGACAGGAGGAGGACGAGAGGAGGATGGGAGGAGGACGAAAGGAGGACGGGAGCAGGACGGGAGGAGTACGGGAGGAGCAAAATCAAGCAAGCGCAAGCAAGCAAGCAAGCGGAAGCAAGCAAGCGCAAGCAAGCAAGCGGAAGCAAGCAATCGCAAGCGAGCAATAACAAGCAAACTAGAGCCAGCGATCAAGTGAAAGCAAGCAAGGGCAAGCAAGAGCAAGCAAGCGAGAGCAAAGAAGGGGGGGTGCCATTGGAAAAAGGGAGGGAGGGGCGTGCCATTGGAAAAAGGGGGGGGCCAAAGACCAATTAGTGAGAATGAGCTAGGACTCCTATAGAGCAAGCCTATTTGGATAATGATGAGCATAGGCATAAGCATAGGCGTATGCATAGGCGTAGGCACAGGAGTTAGGAGGGAGGCATAGGCAGAGGCATAGGCATAGCCATAGGAATTAGGGGGGGTATAGGGATTAGGGGGGGAGGGCAACGGACTAATTAGTAGGGTTTGAGTTAGAACTCCTATAGGGCAAGCCTATATGGAGAAAAACTTGTGACGCCCGGATCTCGCGGTGCCCCGTGAGATCCCTGGAGTCCGTGGCCCCTGGAACTCCCAACACCCCATCCCCTTGTCTGGTGCCCTGCTCCTGAAATTTGTCTCCTGACCTGCGGGCCCTGGACCTAGATAGGCTGGGGCGCAAAATGAGACAGGCCCATTCAGCGCCATCATCAAGCGTACATGCACAGATCTTCGGCATTGCCGCGGAGTCATCGCCGTCGAGCGGAGTGGGCCAATGGAGCGACGATCAAAGGAGGGTCCTACGCGAGATGGCACAGCGACCATACGCGGTGGCTTACGCGGGCCGCCAGCGCGGCACGCTAAATTGGAGACGAGGGCGCTTACGCGCCAATGCCGGCGCAGACGACCCCGTTTTTAGGCGTCGCCCCATTCGCGTCAACACCCCAACCCTCAGGATCGGTTCTCCGCCCCGAAATGCCCATGCCCCCTGTCACGGAAGGCCGGACTCTGGGCCTGGCGAGGGGCCAGAAGTCCAGACAAGGAGAAGCCCAAGCACCCGCCTCTCGGGTAGGAGATCGACTACAGCACTGCTTCACCCCCAACATTTAGGTGCTCGCCGAATCTGCGGAAAAATGAGCAGAGCGACTCGTAGATCCGCGAGCACTCTCCACCCACACACCCTGTGCTGAAAATCAATGTGTGCAGCCGATCTCCTACGCGACTCTTGAGATCCTCACGGCGCTGGGTGAAGGGGCCCCAGGACACACAAATAAATACACACAAATAAAACTATTCCCCCAATTTTCCTATATTTTCTGGGTTTCTGTCTTCCCAACCACTTCCCATAGTTTCCCATATTTTCTGGGGAATCGAGGATTAATTGTGTCTGTGTGTTTCTTTTCATCCTGACTGGGGGATCCAAACATCCGACGTCGCGAGAGAGTCGCACCATCGCAACAGGTCTCGGCTGGGACTCTGGACCCCGCCTCGCTGCAGCACTCGTTGCGAGCCGCATCGCTCCGCGAGGGCCCCGCGGCCCGATACGGGGCAGCAGCGCCCGCGGTAAGGGGGGGAAAGAAAAAAAAAAAAAAAAAAAAAAAAAAAAACGGCTCCAGACCTCTGGCGTCTGGACGTGTCTCGAGGCACGGGCCCCCAGACCCCCTCGACCACTTCCCAGGGGCCTGCGTCTCATCCCGAGCTTACTGTTGCTCCCATCGCACTGGAGGGCCACATCCCAGGAATCATTTCGGGCACCCAGAGAAGTATCGAAACAGTGTCGAACGAGTATCGCCTCCCAGGGCACAACACGTGAAAACCCTCCCATTTCGGTACTCCCATGGTGCTCAGAAGTCTTCCTGGTGATCAAGGCTAAAGGAAGCTGGAACATCAGCTCTTTCACGTCCCCGAGGCTCAGTAGAAGGGCCCCGAGGGGAAACCCCCGCCTCGCTGGCTCTCGAGGCGCCCGACTCTCCGGGGATCCGCTGCTCGCCGCGGGGGTCCTCCAGCGGCGTGCCTCGCTGGCCCCTCGACGGCCGCGCCTCCAGGCGCGGCCCCTTCTGGCCGCGCGGCCGCGGCCGCGGCCGCAGCCCGCTCGGAGGCCACCCGCGCGGCCGCGGCCCGCTGGGCGGCGAGCTCTGCGAGGAGCCCCTCCACGCTCGGGGGCTGCTGGAGGCGCCTCCCCCCCCCCAGACCCCTGGAGTCATAAAAAAATCACGACGGGAGGTTTTTCGCTACTTTCGGCCTTGGGAGCCCTTACCAGACCTAGGGACCCTCAAAAAGCAACTCAGGATGAAAAACCAATCCAGGGGAGTGAGTCCGGACCTCTGGGGGTCGCGTCCTGAAACATCATGACGTCGAGGGTCTAGGCCTGGCCCAGGGTGCCCCCAGCTCGTCGCTCCACCTGGGAGCCCCTGGGGCCCTCCTGGGCCACCCCTGAGATCCTGGCGCTGCAATTCTGTCGCAACAGGCGTTTTCGGCGCCCGGCGTCACGCCCCGGGACCCTCACAGATCGATCTGGCTCGGAAAAAAAATGCCGCAGAAAGATGGGGTCACGGGCTCCGGTGGTGGTTCTTCGCGATGTTGCAAGAGCCTGCTTTTTCTAGACTCAGGAAAAATGACTTGCATGGACGGGGGGGATGAACCTGAAGCAAGCCGCAAACGACCGGCACCGTCTAGAATCACGGAAATCAAAAAGCACTTGCACGCCAGAATTTGTTTGCACAGGGGCGATGGGGGGGAACGCCATGCAAGTAAACCTGACTGACTTGCTGGAACAAGGGATGTATATATTTACCTCTACGACCGCCCTTCGGGTGATAAGGACGTTCGGGGGGGGGACCAACGTCTCACTCGATCGGTTTCACTGTCGACCTCACTATCGATCTCACTATCGGTCTCGCTCGATCGATCTCACTCCTTGGATATCACAATCGATCTCACTCGATCTATTTCATTCGATCGATCTCATAATCGATCTGACAATCGATCAGACGATCGACCTCGCAATCGATCTCACTATCGATCTCACTATCGATATCACAATCGATTTCACATTCGGTCTCACGATCCATCTCCCTATCGATATTAAATTGGTTCACAATCAACGTCATCATCATCATCATCATCATCATCATCATCATCATCAGCATCATCATCATCATCGGGACACCATCATCATCATGATCAACTCATCACCATCATCACCCACATCATCATCACCATCATCATCATCGGGACACCACCATCGTCACCATCATCATTATCAACATCATCATCATCATCACCGGGACACCATCATCATCGTCATCATCGGCGCACCACCATCATCATCATCAGCATCGTATTATCATCATCATAAGAAAAAACATCGACAGCATCATCGGGACACCATCATCAGCATCATCAACATCATCACCATCAAATCATCATCACCATCGGGACACCATCATCATCGCCTCCATCATCATCATCACCATCATCATCATCGGAACACCATCATCATCATCAACATCAGCATCATCATCCTCACCATCATCGGGCCACCATCATCCAAATCATCATCATCACCTCATCATCATCCTCATCATCAACATCATCATCATCAGGACACTATCATCGTCATTATCATCATCATCAACATCATCATCGGGACACCATCGGCATCATCAACATCATCATCAACAGCATGAGCATCAACCTCATTATCATCATCATCACCATCAGCCTCATCATCGGGACACCACCATCATCATCTCCATCCTCGTCATCTCATCATCATCTCATCATCATCAACAACATCATGATAGCCAACACCATCATCGGGACACCATCATCATCATCATCAGCAACATCATCATCAGCATCATCATCATCGGGACACCATCATCATCACCACCATCACTATCATCATCATCATCATCAACACCATCGACATCATCATCATCATCATCATCATCATCATGATCATCATCATCATCATCATCATCATCATCGTCATCATCATCATCATCATCATCGGGACACCGACGGGACACCGGCGGAACACCGGCGGGACACCGCGCGCCACCGGCCCCCGGACAAGAAACATTTGGTCTGGCCGCGCCTCAGCCGGAGGCGGGACACCGGCGGGACACCGCGCGCCACCGGCCCCCGGCCGGGAAACGTTTGGTCCGGCCGCGCTTCAACCAGAGGAGACTTTCTTCTCGCCAGCCCACGCAGCTTCGCCTCGCCCGCACGCACGGCACGCACGAACACGAAACCGAAACCGATTTCAGGGTAGGGAAGCTCTCCGTTCCACTTCGATCTCACCCCCTCACCTCCGATATATTTATATAAATGTGCGCGTGCACATGTATACACACATATGTACATGCATACATATACATCTACACATGCATATATATCATATTTAACACAATATACTATAATACAATATAATATAATATAACATGATATATTATATTATAATATAATATACTATTAAACAATATAATATAATATAATATAATATAATATGATATAATATAATATAATATAATATAATATAATATAATAAATTATAATATAATATTACATGATATAATAAAAAAAATATAATATGATATAATATAATGTATGCAATATAATATAATAAAATATAATATAATATTTTTAATAAGGTATGATATAATATAATAAAATACAATACCATACAATATAATATAATCTAACATAGTATAATATAACATGATATAATATAATATAGAATAATATAAAATATATAAAAATAAAAAGATAAAAAATATAATATAATATAATATAACATAACATACCATAATACAATATAATAAAATATAATATATTGTAATAAAATATAATATGTACATTTACATATACATATACATATACATATACATATACATATACATCTACATATACATATACATATACATGTACATATACATATACATATACGAATACAAATACAAATACATAGACATAGACATATACATATACATATACATATACATACACATGCACCTAAACATATACATGAAAATAAACATACATACAGATGCATATGCGGACCATATACACATAGGTCCATATACATATACATGTACATGTACACATAGATATGCATGTGCATACGCAAATACATATACATATGCATAAACATACATAAAGGTGTCAACTTACATGAACCTATACAGTTGCATGAGCATGACCTTATACACATACACATACATGTACAAGAACATGAACATAAACATAAACACATGCACATGCATATACATATACAATTACATATACATACACATGTACATATACGTTTACGCATACATAAACATTTGCGTTGATATACATACACGGATATCTATACGTATACATAAACAAATGAATATACAGATACAGACATGCATAGACATAAACGAATACATGTACATACGCATATGCATAAACATACAGACATATACATAAACATATAACTGTACATGTAAACATATAGATATACACGCATAAAGAAATACATATACATATGCATTTGCGTACACCTATACATGTACATATACATTAATGCATACATATACACATAAACAGATTTTTATATATACATTACACATGCACCTGCACATTCATACACACATACGTATACAACTGTATACACATATACATATACACGTGTGCATGCATATGCGTATACACATACATGTATACATGTATGTGTACACAATGTATGCATAATGATGCCGATGTGTACATATCTATATATATATACATACATACATACATACGTATATGTATAAATATGTGTGTGCGTGTACATTCCTTTTTTTATATATTTCGTCACCCGGAAGCCCATCACCCACACACACACACACACACTAAACCGAAATCCCCCCCAGGGACGCCCCGGACGCCCTGTCGGACGTCTCGGCGGCCCCCGGGACGCCCTAGGAAAAGGTCCGTTGGTCCTTCCAAACCAGGAGGCCCCCAAGACGCCCCGAGAGGCCGTTAAGAGAGCCCCGAAAAAGCAAAAACCATCTCATTCCCCCACGAAAATAAGATGTTAAGCATATCCGTTTTGGGGGTCTTCGTTCGCAGCGTCCAAGACGGCCCGACAGGCCCCCGATATCGCCCCAAGACGGCCCAAGAGGCCCCCCAGAGGCTTTGAAGACAGCCCAAGAGGGCCCCAAGACTTCCCCAGAGAGCCCCGAGACTGCCCACAAGAAGCCCAAGATGCCCCCCAGCCCCCAAGAGAGACCCACGAAAGCCATGGGAGACCCCCAAAAAGGCCACTGGAAGCCCCCAAAAGGGCCCTAGATGGTTTCAGAAGACCTCTGGAGGCACCAAACTCCCCAAGACGGAACAAGAAGGCCCCAGGACGGCCCAAGAGGGCCCCAAGACGGCCCGAAAGAGCCCAAAAACGTCAAGACGTTTTCCTACGATGCATATCGAGCTGACCCGACGATCTTGGGTCCACGCTGAAGGCTCGAGGTTTAAATCCCTCGATCGAGAGAGACAGGCAATGTATCTAGATTCGAAGCTCGACGATCGAAGATGTCCTGACTGCCTTCAGCCCTCCAGACATTCAGGGAGCGACCAAAAAAATATCTCTTCGGAGCTACTGCGACTTCTTCGCCGTGTCATGGGAACGCTCCTTACTTCCTCCAAGGACCTTCGCGCGTGAACTAATCATCATTCCTTCCCCTCCCCTGCGCACAAGCGTGCAAGCGCATCGGGCGAACGCGGTGTCAGCAGGCACCAGGGAAATCGGATAAATGAGCCGCTCGCCCGTCCAGGCCTCCAGGTCCCCGCCTGTTGAAGCAAGCGATGATTTATTGTTTTGCCAGGGAAGCGTCCGGAACAAGGCGCATGGCGCGAAGCGCCAATGCAGTCTTGTACATATATATATATATACATAGAACTAAATAGCTATATACCTATGTTTTGCTTAATGCGCACCACGACAGGGAATCCGCTAGGTTTCGCGAGGCCCTGGCGAGTAGGGCGACGAAGTCCACACACACCCACTGCTGCCTGGCCAGGCCCCTCCTAAACCCAGCAGCAGTGC